ATAGTCAGTGAAAACAAACTACAAAATGTTGCTTACAAAATCAATGTTGAGAAAGCTAAACATGGCTAAACATTATGGCATGACCATTTTTACAAACAATGGCCAATGGCTGAATGAGCTTCACGTTGAAATTTATAATCACTCATTTGTTTACTATGTTCTACATGTATCGTTACATTTGCACGTATTTTAATAGTGAACAAACACAACTGTAACCATTCAAGCCATTTCCGCCTTATATGCGAACCTGAGAGAAAACATGTTCAACTTTGATACAATGTCAAATACAAGCGACCGTGTGGTTGGTAAAGCTCCGCAGAGGGCAGTTACATGGTATTTTACAAACTGTTGCAATAATCACATTATTTAGATATCTCCAAAATATGACATGGGATCTTGACTGAGGAACCTCCTGAGCCCCAATACAAAATCAAAGAAAGGTTGGAAAGAACTCCTGTGTGCTGAGAAAATTGGAGACAATTAAAATTAATTCAAAATTTGAGAAGCTTAGCAACTAATATTTGTCTGCTATTTGCGATGTACAACATGAAAATAATGTGATTTACTGATTTACATTATCAAAATTCATAATACATACAAAAAATACATTTGATTTTTCATCCATGTTTTTTAGTCTAATCAATTAATAAATTAATTAATCAGAGCACCTCTATGATGAATTCAATTTAAATCTGATTTTTAAGATTAATTATCAACATTAAACTAATCACGTCTGTGGACTACCTCAATGAACCAAATGAATCATTATACAAATTAAGCAATTATTATATTGTTTCAGGACGCACATGTACAAGGTTTCATTACATTGTGATGATCAATCCTAACTAAATTAGTGGAAAGCTGAAAAGTAAATTATTATGCAAATTAGAGATTTATATAAACCTAAAACTAATTAGATCATCACATTATGTTAGAATATATCTGTAGTTGAAAATTGGCTAATTGTGCAAATTAGGTATTAATATGCACTGGTTTTAACCCAAAACTAATCTGTGCATTGTCCTAGAACATCTATATACCAGGATTCATTGAAATGGGATAATTAGTACTTCCAATATCAGTGTAAAAGCTGAAAATTAACTAATTATGCACACATTTTTACTGAAAATTAATCAGGTCCATTGTTATAGAAAATCTATGTACCAAGTTTCATTAAAAATAAGCTGACAATTGATTAATATGTCACATATCTGTCTGTGCATTGTCCTATGTATCTATGCAATTGTCTTTTAAATGGGATGATTAGTACCTGAGATATCAGTGGAAAAGCCGAAAATTGATTAATCATTATGCAAATTAGGTTAATTATATGAATGTTTTTTTATACCCAAAACTAATTTAAATCTGTGCATCAGTCCAGAGCATCTATGTACCAAGTTTCATAAAAATCCAATGAATGGCTCTTTAGATATCAGTGGAACAGCTAAAATTAGCTAATCATCATGCAAATTAGGTAATTTATATGCAAGGATTTCAACCAAACCTGATCAAATCTGTGCATTAGCCCAGAGCATATATGTACTAAGTTTCGTCAAAATCCAATGAATGGCTCTTTAAATATCAGTGACACAGTCATGGAGCTAAAAAATAGCTAATTATCATGCCAATTAGGTAATTTATATGCATGGATTTCAACCAAAACCGAATCAAATCTGCACATTAGTCCAGAGCATCTATGCACGAAGTTTCATTAAAAACCAACATACGGTTCTTGATATATCAGTGGAACGGAAGGACACCAAATGAACAAACTTGAGAAAGGAGCAGTCCATGCGTCTACATTATGAATTTCAAAGCAATGTGACAGGCGGTTTCAAAGAAGAAGTAAAAAATTGCATGAAAATAGACACTTGCCCTGAGCAATAATATATTTTTCTTCGCTGAAAAAGAAATTGCCAAATCAATTACCTGGGTATAATTTTAAGTGCTAATGGCAAACATAAAGAGGGTTCCATTAACTTAAAAAAATAAAGGAATGAAAGCTCTTTGCATTGAAATGCAAAATCGGTAATGAGAACACACTAAAATACCCCTTCAACTATCTTTATTTGACAAACTGATAAGACCCATTATTATATATGGCAGTGATGTTTGGGGTGATGAAAACACAAAAAAGTCGGTAATTTTCATTTTGTCGGTTCATTCTTGGTCTCTCCAAATTCACACCAAGAATGGATGTTTATGGTGAGCTAGGAAGGTACCCCATTGACTGTTTTATCAAGAAACAATGACTTAAGTACTTCAACCGGGAAACAAACTCTGATAACACATTATTAAGAGAAGCCTACTTAGTAAATAAGAATGTATAAAGTAAATGGTTTACAAGTGTAAAAACCATCAAGATATTGATGTTACCATTGTAAACTCAAGTGAAATAATAAATAAGAAAAATTTAGACTTTATTCATAAACAGATAAACAAATCATTTGAGAACCAATTGATTGTAAACATGCGTAATGATAATAGAAAACAAACATTGGCTAAAACAAACTAAGAACATACATACTTTTTAAACTAGATTTAACAATTTTATATTACTTATTAATTAATGTGCAGAACAATGGTCTTAGAAGGTTAATTGCAAAATTCAGGACAGGAAACCATGACCTTAAAATTGAGAAAGGCAAACATAACAATGTGCCCCTGAATAAAAGAACATGTTATATGTGCAGCCAAAATATAATTGAGGATGAGCAACATTTTGTAATGAATTGTCCAGCTTACAGTCATCATAGGGACAAATTATTCTTGACTGCACAAAATAAAATTCCAAATTTTGATAAAAATAACAGTCAGAATAAACCATACTCTACCAGCCTAAGCTGTCTTTTAAAAAAAACAGCTATGAAACAAAACAGCATCAACTATCAGTGTATTAGGTTACAATTAATGATCATTCTATATTCTGTATTCACCATTGGTTGCGAATTGTCTTTATTGTTTATTCATATTTGTTTTTGATTTTTTCAGATTATAGTCTTTTAATTTCTTCTTGTAAGACCCTTTTTATTCTTTCCAAAGGATTTAATGCGTATAATAAATATTATTATTATGATGCCATAAAAATAATAAGTCTGAGTGAAATCCATGTCAACAACATTCATGTCAAATTGCAAAGCATTCTGACAAGCAGACAATCATTTTTAACAAAAGTGTTATAAAACTAGTTAATTTGGATGAAGTGTGACTCCCTTGGCTGTTAATTCTTCCTTTACTCTAGTAAGGTAGTGCATGTCTGGATAACCAAAGCTGTACATAAAACATAAACTAAGACAGGTAATTAGTTGAACTATAGTTTGGGTAAAATAAAAATAACACCATATGGATTTGAAAACATTGGTTTTCGTGTACGTCATTGCTAGCCAATATGGGTTTGTCAATCCTGGAAGATGTAACTGGCTGTGATATACTCTGCGAAAGTATAAATGATTAAATAAGGTTATAACAAAGTACAAGAAGTTGATTATCTTTTATTTAATAATAATGCAGTATTTATATATATATGCTTTATACTATTTTTCCGTTATATCATAAGTAAAAAGAAAATTGCCATATAATCACATGAAAATATTAAGCTCTATGTAATTATTAAACTTACACAACCTTGCTTGTTGACGGTGTGCTTAGAACTACATGTGAATGCAAAAGTTACGGGTACTTGGCATTCATTGCACGTCGTCACGGCATAGAGATGTGGTGTATAGATCTGAACGTGTCCCGCCAACAAGTTGTACTCCGATTCCAAGGTAGATATTAATTCAGCACTGTGGGCAATTTAAGTCATTGTGGAAACGTCCAAACTTTAATTGGGCAGTCTTCTCGATACACAACTTCAGGCAGGGCACATTTCGTGTCCAAGTCTTGTATTCAAAAATCGAAAAATGCCATGGAAATTTTCTTTAGGAACATCGTGTGGTAATTCTGGCAGTTTCATTATGTAATCATATTTAATATACACTATATAATATTTACTGCACTCTGGGTAATGCCGCCATTATTAAAATTACTGTTTTATTCTGTATTTTTGATATACATTACGGCCAGTTCTATATCAGTAAGTGACAATTTTGCACGTAAATGTAAATGCTTTCTGTGTTCTGTGTTTGAAAGAAACAGTCATAATACAACTTACCGTATCATCATCATACAGAGTTCCTAGAGTTATGTCTTCCATATTGGGCTGGAAATGGAATGCACTGTCCTTGTTTGTCTCGCACATAAGTCTCCCTTGAATGGAATGTACACGTAGGTTCAGTTCTTTCTTTTCGGACATCAAATCAATAGCGCCACCATGTGTCAACAGATTAGACAGATAAAAATGCACACTCTCTGTCGTCACCAAATTGAACTCCAA